CTTTACTTTTATATTTGTCACTTTCTGACGAAGAGGTTTATTAAAAAAAAAAAAATCCTCAATGGCTGTAATAGAGTATCTTTATTAACTGAAGTGTCACTAGTTCAGGAGATAAATGCACATTATTATTTAGCACTCACTGTATGCTATCAAAGATTATGTGAAAAATGACTTGTGCTTTGGTATTTCATCTACTGTGATCTGAATAAAAAGTGATGTGTAAAAAAATTCACAAGCATAACTGTTAAAGAAGAGTGTTGCAACAGTTTCGACTACAGTATTAGGCTAAAAGATATGTTAGAATTGTCCCAAAACCAACTTACATCAGAAAACACAACCTTAAGGTTACATTTTTTAAAAAATCCCCGTGCAAAGTAATAAGAACTTTGAATTAGACATCCAAAGACTTAAATCTTTAGGTGAAGTCTGTTCAGCATACATATATATGATGGTGATGATTTGTTGAAATACTAAACAGTCTTCAATTAATTTTTAGAAATTATTTTCCTCCTTGATTTTCCCTTTCCTGATGTCATTGTGGTGTGCAGAATGGATACTGACCCTTTGAACTTATCACCTTTGCATATAGATGCTTGATACTACTTATTAAAAAATCAGAATAAATTGTTAGTAGTATTATTAACTTTGTTGAAGACAACCAATTCCTTGTCATGCATCATAAATAGATCCAAATAAGAAAAACAAGTAGTGTGGAATGAAAATGTACCTTGCAAGCAACTGAAGATATGGTATGGTATGGTATGATCTTTGTAATAGCCCAAGGCTCATGCTCAGTTTATATTGTAAGAGCTAATATATGTGATTTTAAAGCAGGTCTCAGTGACTACTGGCCATTCAGCTATTCCATGTCCTGTAAGCACATCCTTTTGGCAAAAGCTCTGACGAAGTTCTAGGTGTACAAATAAATTAAATTCTGTCATACTCTTACTGTTTTAGGGAAAGGGGTAGCAGAAAAGATCACAGGACTGCCTGTCTGACCATGGATGTACTGTTTTTCATCGTTTCATCATTGCTGGAAATTATGTGAGCAGCAGGCTTCACCTTTGTGTACAATCACGATGTAGGCAGTCAAGAGGTGCATGTGTGTGTTGGAGGCAGCAGCCCTATTAGAACTCGTTAAAATAGTTGTACTGAGTTTACATGCCTGTGGCTGGGGGTACATGCCATTACTAATCTGGCTCTTGGCTGGATTACCTTTGAAAAATAAGAAATAGATTCCTCTGCCACGTGTGAAAAGCTTTTGGCCCTCTTGAGTCCAGTTTAATGTTGCACCTGAGCTAAAGAAAGGAGGGTAATGAAGCATTTACATCCTGTCTGGCTTCCTGCAGGCTTGATCAGAGGGGACAAAGCCCTTTGCCAGGAGTTTTCTGAAGGGACAAAGAGGCTGGAGCAGCCTCCCTGTGTGTTTCTGAGACATGAGTACATTTCTAAAGCCAGATGCCAGGTTTTGGTCCCACTGGTACCAATTAGGAATGACACCTGAAGTGGCATCTGAAAGCAAACCCACTTTTCTTAGTTCTTCAGGCCAGTTATGAGACAAATCTGCTCTGTCCTGTCCATCCTCCCCATTTTGCTAGTGGAGGAGTAAAATCAGAATGAAGTATTCAAGCTACAAACTGAGGTGTTTTGCCGTGAGATTTTTCTTATTTCAGTCTTGATGGGTATAGGCAAGTCTATACATCTAAGACAGAAATTAAGGAATCAGTATATTGTGAGTTTAGGTGTCAGCTGAGGCAATGTTCTCTTGCATGTCTCTTCTGTCCACACAGGTTTCTGAGCAATATATATTTCTTCCTCTATGTGACAGTCAGCTTCCATTCATGTCCCCAAGGACTTTCATTCTGGGGCAACTGAACAGTTAAAGTATGTTTTAGCAAGTGAGTTGTAACATTATGAGTCACAACTTTGTAAGTTACAAAAAGAATTGTAACATTGTGACTGAACTAGAATAAGTACAAATTAAAGAAGGATGACAAAAATCTTTCTTCACGTAAGAAGCTCTGTTTTATTTCAGGAGTTTAATCTTAGCTGTCTCTTTTCTCTCCCTCTCAGTTCCCTATACATACAGGTAATTTTTTTCTTTGTGTCATTTAGAACTAAGTTTCCAGAAGAAAGAGAAAAATTTAAGTAAAAATATGGTCAAATGGGTTTATCTAAACTCTGAAACTCATCTCTTATCCAAATCATCACTTCTTTCTTGGCGTAAATTAAGTATCCAGTAATTCACCAATTATAGCACTTCCATTTCTCCCAGGTTGTTGATGTCTCTCCAAAACTTAGTATTTCTTACTTTTCTTCAGATATTTTTTGTGTCTACTTTCTGCTGGCACAGATGAATGTGGTGAAGGTAAAGGGCTCTTGCTCAGTAGGATCTGGTGGTGGTCCTGTTCCATTGATAGCCATGAAGGGAATAGCCCTTGAGGAATGCTGTAACCTGCACTGAACATACCTACCTACCTTCCAGCTGTCTGTTTACCCTGCCATATTTACCAGTAAACTGAGAGACTATTTACTGTGATGAGTGTTTATAGTCTTCTAAAATTTTCCCTACCTTGTGAAAGAGACCTTTTTTCAACATTTCAGCATTTCAAGAAATACATTTTCAGCATTTTCTACATTTCTTAAAAGGAGTACAATTGCAAAAGTTAAGGCTTTTTAAGGAAATGCTTTGTTCAATCTAGATTCAAACATGTTTGCTTTCAAACTTTAAAAAATTAAGTCTAAAACTGAGATATATTTTGGAGAGATATGACAACTGAAAAATTGAAATACTGAAAGATGTACCCAAGGTTTTCAGTAGTTTTATTTTATGTGGAAACATGAAGTTTGTGAACTGAACGTGCATTGACTAACTGTATTGCAGTTTTTCTCCTTTGAAGGTTGACTAAGGCAATTCTATCAAAAAAACTTTCAAATTCACTTCTGTATGAAAAATTCAGTGCTTGATATCTATTGAATTGTTAACTCCTGAGGACTGAGGAGAGTTTGTGACTCAGAACTTCATAAATCACCAGGTTGACTTTAAAATCTATACATTTTTTACACAGATGTTAAGACCATGGAATTTGTGTTGTCAAAGTGTCTCCGGCTTTGTGATAGGTGATTTTTAGTTCACTTATATTCTGAACATACATCTCTTGTAATACTACGAGCATGGGATCTAGTAATGAAGAAGCAAACCATCAAATATTGAAATTTGCAAAAAAAATATAAAATATAGCAGTCCTTGGATTGCATCAGATATGACATAAAATCTGACATATTATTTAGTAACAGGTAGCTTGTCATGTATTCATTCTTCTAATGTTTTTAATAATATGACCTATTTACTTATTTATGCTTCTACAGAACTTTGATATTGCCCTAAGCCAGGACACTAATCCAGCTTGTACAGAAAAAGAACAAAAAATTACCCAAGGAATTTAATATCCAGTCTTTTTAATTTAATGCTCTGCCACCCAGGTTGTCTTCTTTCTGTGTGGACTCTGGTGATTAGTGAATAGGTCACACAAGGCATGTATCTACTGAATGTATCTTCCTTTTCAGATCACAGAAGCTCATGGGCACATTCTTGCCATTTTTAATTTTCTTTGAACTGTTTACTGTATTAAAAAAGGGAAGTTTATTAAAGGCATTTGGTATTCAAAATTTGCAGTCAAGATAGTGATCATATAATAAGAGTTTTGAGTCTGATGGCATGAGATAGTCTACTACTTTCTAAAATTGTTGAATCGTGTTTATTTGATTCTTTGCTTTATAAACTACCCTTCAGGCCATTGAAGACATTCTTGAATTATAACAAATATAAGCAAGAAGCTGATTTATTGGCTAGATACAGAATGCGAACCATCATGTTCTTTCTAACAGTTGCTCATATCAGACACTTGCAAAATAAGTAGGAACAAAACAGGCTCCATGTAGATTGAACATTTCACAGGTATACTCTTTTTCCATCCATAACTCTAGCTTTACTTATAGCCTTGGATAAGAATTCCAACAGTGCTGGTTTTTAACCCATAAATTAAAAAAATTACCCTTAAATGTACAAAGCAGGTGCTGTAAAATCTAGTGTAAAATACTTTGGAGATAGAACTTTTACTGCAGATAGGTTAGGTAGGGTGATATTTAATGTTGTGTTTTATCAGCAATTCAACTTTGTCTTGAAGATGCATATTTCCTGCAATTCTAATAATTTATTTATGCATACCTTGGAAGTTTGGCTGCCTGTGATTAAGCTGAGTGTTTCCTAGAGGATTTATAAGACATTTCTAAATCTTTGTCAAACATTTTCATTAGCTTTTGAATATATATTCAGCAAATCATAGAGAAGCTATGACCAAATGTGTCTGGCAACAGATTCTTCAGTGTATACTGGAAACTATTTTCAAAACTTCTGAAGGAAGGTAAAGAGGGCAGTTGACACAAAGCAAAGCATTCAACGAAAATAAGTCTGTACTCCTGAGCCAAACTGAGGTTTGTGTATTGTTATACCCCCTCCCATGTAATTTGTTTTGTAAAGTGTAATTACATTAACAGGTTTTTATTTTCCCAAAAGGAGAAGAATCATTCATATTTTGTCTTTGTACCAGATAATGTGGTGATAAACATTATGACATTGTTAATATTATTGATCTAAAATGGCTATCTAGAGACTTGAGAAACTTTCTTTTTCTTAATTAAAAAAAAAAAGAAAAGGAAATATTGGTAAATGCAGTCATTGCTGTTTGTGATTAAAGTGTACTCAAAGAGACTGTTGTTAATAGCAGTCATTGCTGTTTGTGAGTAAAGTATACTTAAATAAACTATAATTTAAGTATGATTTTTGCCATAATTTTGACCATAAAGGACAATCATGAATAATGTGGAACTGACTTGTAGAAATATCCCTGGTCAGGATATTTTTACTGGTTTTATACTGAAAACCTTTAAATAATGTTTGGAAATTCACCAATTATATGTATGTATACTTTGTCTTTTAGGGCATACAGGACGATTATTAAAATCTCTGTGTTTCACCAGTCTATCATTTCTGCTGCTGCACATCGTCTTTCAGATTACAATAAACAGTCTTGAAGCTGGAAAAACTATTGAACCTGGTTTTAACTGTGAGTAAAACATTTTAGTTTTTATTAGCATTTTAAACGTCCAAATGCTTCAGTGGTTTGAAAGGTGAAGGGTTGATGAGAAGGCACTTAGCATTGTGCTCCTGTGGGTTTGCAGCTTGCTTCTGTTATCCAGTTTTTAACCTTAAGAGTTACTGCTAGCAGGGCAAGAAGACTAGATGGGTTTTAGAAACAATATAAATGTATATATAACTATGACATATATATATATATATATATATATATATATATATATAAGTACTTTGTTCACACAAGAGATGCAGTTTCTTTGAGTTTACCACTGACTATTGTATGTCTTCATTTTTTAGGCTTTCTCAAAATCACCTCAGAACATGAGGTAGCTACGTGTTTGTGTTATTAGATCATAATCCAGTGGACTAAGATTAAAATGAGATATAGTAATGAAATCCCCTCTATCCGTGTATTATGCCTCTCTCTGGTGTAACTCTTTGAAGTTTTTCATTTCTTTTAACTTTAAATCTTGACTGTAAAATTTATATTTCTAAAGAGTGTTCATCCCTTTCTTACCTGTGCTGTATGGGAAGAAGGATTTTCAAATTTTCATTTATATGCTAGCTCTACTTGAAAACATATTGCATGACATTTTGTATCTTCCTCTCTCAGGAAATGTTGTTCAATAATTCTGAAAGCAAACATTCTTCATTGTGCAGAAGTTAATTAAAATATCTATCCAGTGATTTAGATATGTAACCTCCAGGTAGAAACTATTTGTACTTGTCTTACAGTGCTTACATTTAACATTTAAACCTGTCAACTTACCTTTGATAAATGTCCATTTAATTTTTCACGAAGTATGCTGCTGCCACTTGAGTAAACAGTTGTACTACAATTCAACACAAGAAACCTTATGTGAAGTTAAGCATTTGACTTAAAGTAACAAAATCCTAAGGAAACTTGGAGTAAGCATTACAGTTTCACCTCTAACTTTTTTAATTTCTTAAAATAAAAGGCATAATTGTGTTAATGAAATACCAGTTTTAACTGGAATATCTTGGGCTTTGTTGTTCAAATCAGGCCTTCACAGTCTAAAAATATTTTTTTTTTAATTAAATGTCCATCATTCATTGAGTGAACTGGATGAGTTGTTTTCCTATATGTGTTTAGTATTCTTATGACTATGAAGATGTAATTTTTACTTAGACTGGAGTAATTGCATCATCTAGACACCATTTGTATGAGTAGAGAGTTCCTAACTGTCCAAGACAGAGATGGAACCACTGAATTTTTCCTCCTTTTATGGTGGGGACTGGGGTCTACAGTGGGAATTAAAATAATTATTTCATCCTGAAGAGTCCACTCTTCAGGATAAAATGTACTATTTGTGTCTGTTTATTCACAGTTGTCGAGTGCAACGGTTTATATTCTAGCTGCCATTAATAATGATTTTCGTACTTGGGGCCCCACAGGACAATGGGTATAGCTGTAGGAGTACATTAAATGTGCCCCAGATTGCTCTCTGACATTGAAACCAGTTGAAATGAGATGCCCACACCCTCACCATTAAGCTCTCTTTGCCTCCTGGGCACAGAGTGTGGTGCGAAGTCGCCTTTTGGGGATGTTATTTGGCCCAAAGGAACTCCCAAACTGTGCCTGAGTTATTTGGGAGCGAAGGTTAACTGACCGAAGTTGTTTTGATATTTTTGTTAACTTTACAACACGAAAAATTTGGCTGTTGAATTTCAGTGCCAGAACGTTTGGAGGGTAAACTGGCACCATTTAGTTTTCTGGTATGGCTATAGTCTATGAGCTTCGGGTGAAGCTAATAAGGAAGGGCATGTGATACTGGCATTATGGATGCTGGACCCCTAAGGTACTGAAGGAGAAGGTAAAGAATGTATAAAGCCCTTTGTGAATGTAGGGGATGGAAAAGGCCAAGGCATTTGGTAGATCAGGCAGGAAGATCAATTTTTGTCATTAAATGGCAGCAGAACATAGATGGTACTGTGTGGGTGAGGAAAAACAGAATTCCCATTCCCAAAAGTACTTTGGTAGCCCTTCTGCTTGTAACTCTTTGGTGGCACAGCCCCACTGTATTTCCTGTGCCCCAGCTATATGAATAGTGCTTTGCAAAACTGGTTGCAGCTGTGTGCTAAGCCATGGCTGGAGAAACGACAACACTTTGCCCATAGCATCTGCACAGTGTTATCATCCCTTCATTTTAGACTTGGCTGTTAGTGTTTACCCAACTCTTTTTACTCAATTAGAAGTTCAAAAGTGTAGACTGGAAGACTGGAGTTTTCTGTTTCCCTATCCAGACCCGGATCAACTATTAATAACACATTTTTTACAGCTAAAGTCTTTTCTGATGCTTATCATAAGGAAATTTTTTTCCCATTAGTCAAAATACCTTGTCTGCATCTTTCAGCATGATGTGGAAATAAAGAAAAACTTTCCCTTAGTCTTTATGGTTATCTGTTATGTATTTGAAGGCCGCAGTCATATCCATCATATGTACTCTGCTCTCATTCTCTTTTTACACAACCTCAGTCTCTTCAAACTTTCTTTATGCATCATGTTTTCCAGGAAGGATATTAGTCTTATCATTGTGGGTTTAATTCTGTTTTCTCCAAGGGTTCCAGATATTTCTTGAAGTTCAGTGCCCAAAGCAAGGCAGTATTTCAGCTGAGAATTTGCTGGCATATACTGAAATATAAAAATTACCAAAGTGTCTGCAAGTCAAACTCCCTATTTATGCATTATTATATGGTACTTTTTACAATGGTAATATTGTCTCACACTTTATTTTTGTTTCACTGAAACCCACAATTCCTTTTCTCCGGAACAGACCACTTTTTTCAATCCCATATTTTTGTAGGTGAGTATTTTTCCAGTGTAGTGAAAGTTTGTTTTCCCTTTTTTTTCCAAAATGGTTTTATTTATCAAGATTGTTCTGAATTCTATCTCTTCATTTGCTAGTGGTTCCTCTTATAGGAACCACCTGCAAATACACCTTTAAGGAGGTTTGGATATACTAAAGTGTTTGGTTTTTCCTTTAAATTTAATCTGTGTTTTTATTTTGATGGAATTATAGTGTCTTCACCAGTTTAAATAAATTAAACCATGGAGTACTGAAGGAGCTGGTGGATGTTATGGCAGAACCCCTTTTGATTATCTACCAAAGGTCATGAGAGTGTGGGGAGGTCCTTGTTGACTGGAAGCTGGACAGTGTTATTACAATTTACAAAAAGGGCATGAAGGAAGACCCAGGAACCTGCAGGCCTGTTATTCTAACCTCATTTCCTGAAGAAAGTTTGAAGAAGGTTATACTGGGTACTACTGAAAGGCATTTAAAGGTCAATGCATTCATCAGGCACAGTCCACACAGATTCACGAAGGGAAAGTCCTGTTTAACTAGTTTGATATCCGTCTATGATAAGGTCACCTGCCCAGTGGATGAAGGGAAGGTGGTGGATGTATTTTTCCTGGATTTTAGTAAGGCTTTTGATATTGTCCTTCACAGAATCCTTCTGGACAAGTTGTTCAGCTGTGGGATGAGTGTGTTCAAGATGTGCTTGGGTGAGGAACTGCCTGAAGGGCAAGGCTCAAAGGGTTGTGGTGAATGAGGCTACATTTGGCTGTCAGTGGGTCACCAGTGGTGCTCCTCAGGGATCAATTCTATGGCCAGTTCTGTTTCTCATATTTATGAACGATCTGGATGCAGGAGTTGAGTGCAACATTAGCAAGTTTGATACTGACAATACCACAGTGGGAGGTGTTGTTTATGACAAGCTGCCTTACAGTGGGATATAGACAGATTGCAGCAATGGACTCTGATTACTGGGATGAAATTTAACAAGTTTCTGCACCTAGGATGGAATAATGCTGGGCACAAGTATAACCTAGACGAGAAGTGGCTGGAGAACAGCCCTGCAGAAAGTGACGTCTAGGGGTGTTAACAGTTTGGCAGCAGGCTCAAAAGGAGCCAACAGGGTGCTCTGGCAGCTAAGAGGGCAAACCCCATCCTGCGGAGCACCAGACATAGCACGACCAGCTGGTCAACAGAAGTGTTGGTGAGGCCTCAGTTTGACCACTCTGTAGCTCTGGGCCCCACAACTAAAGATAAATGTTCAGGTACTTGAGGAAGACAACAAAACTGGTGAAAGGGCTGGAAGGAACGTCCTATGAAGAGTAGCTGAGAACACTGGGTTTGTCTAGTTTGGAGAAAAGGAGGCTGAGGGGCAATCATGTCACTCTGCAGCTTTCTGAGGAGGGGAAGTGGAGCGTGAGGTGCTGATCTCTTCTCCCTGAGATCCAATGACAGGATGCTTGGGTATAATTCAGAACTATGCCCATCAGAGAAAGTTCAGATTGGACATTAGGAAGCATTTCATTAGCAAAGGGATACTCAAAATCTGGAAGAGCCTTCCTAGACAGGTGATTGTGCCCAAGCCTGGTAGCCTGTCAGAAGCATTTAGACAGTGCCCTTAACAACATGCTTTAACTTTTAGTCAGCCCTAAAGTTGTCTAAGAGTTGAAATAGACTATCATTGTAAGTCCCTTCAAAATTAAATAAATAGTTCTATTCTATATACTGCCCTCATGTAAATGAAGTGTGAATAAGGTAAATGTGCACTCTTGGTGAGTTAATTTCTAGGCTGAGTAAAAAGAGGAAAGTAAAAAAAATTACAATAGCAGAAAGGAAAAAAATTATTTTGGTGAATATGGAATTGGTTATTTTTACTATGATAAAGCATGGGAAATTTCATGTGTTCTTTTATTCCATCACTTGCTTTCATCCTGCAGGAAAATTAGTTGATTCTACAAGTCCATAATTTCCACCTCAGAAATGTTTTAACTTAATTCTGTTAATAATCTAGCTCCTGACAGTTTCGGAAATGGATGAGGGGGGTGGTAACTTTGTCTTCAAATTCTGTAGGTTAGTTTTTCTCAGTCTTTTCAAATGCCAACTTCTGAATCAAAAGATCATTTTCTGGTTTTAGCTTTTCTTTTCACACTGCTGT